TTTTTGATACTAATCTTTTCTCATAGTTCACTTCTAAATTTGGATCCTTTGGTGGAGTTGGATCAGACGTCTTTCAGAACAAATATATACTAACCTAGTCTAGAAAGTTGTGATGTTGATGATTCAAATTGTATTATTGTAAAAGAAAATATTATTTACGAACGATAATGTTATCATACATACAACAGAATCAGATTCAATAATGAACATGTAAGAGACTTACAATGGTAGTACAATGTATGAGAAAAAGAAATTTGCAAGTTTGAACAGAGTGTAAAATGTCACGCAACACACAGCATAAAAGTAAGGAGGGGATGACATTGATTATTGAGTATAACTATCCATTCCATGCAAATGAATACTCGTAGTTGTTTGTTATAGCTTTCTCTAAGAGATGCTCCAGCGATAGCGGCTCTGGTGAACCCCGGGCTTTGGTTTTGAAGCGAACATTTCTTTCTTTGGTGGTCGTGCTTGGGTGGTTTGAGAAAGGAGGATGAGCGCCACGAATAGCAGCATAAGGACAGTTGTTGCAAAATGAGCAAAACTAGTGTTCTTCATCATCTTTGATCTCTTCTTTGTGTGTTTATGAGTGAGAATGTGAGATTATAGGTTGAGGTAATTTTGGGTGATATTATCTCAGTGATGTTCTTTCAACTTGTAACGTACCCTTTATATACAGGATTTTATGTTTTTTAAAATTTATTTTAAAAGTTTAATCTGGCAAGTACTACTCTCTAATCCATATTTATCTTCCATTATATTCTTCCCATTTGAGTTCTCAAAAAAAAAAAAAAAAAAATCCTTCCCATTTGACTTTGACCAAATGTAAGTGTATAAAAGAAATTACTTCCTTTTGTTTTTACAAATAATTGCAACCCTTTAATCAGATACTAGGTTAAATCCCGTGCAATGCACGATTGTTAAATATTTTTTACTATTTTATTATAAATTTTTTAATATAATGACTTGAGTATTAAAAAATATAGAGTATATTAAAAATAAAAGCATGCAAGAGAAAATATTTTAAAAACATGTAATAGTTATAAACTTATAATGGATAGTTTAATCTTTTAGGAAAAGATTTATATTTTATAGTATAAAACAAACACAATTATGTCATAATTTATTTTTTCCTTAAGTAACAACAATTTATTTAGAAGGTACTTTTGGCGGGAAATTTTTTGATAATACGTTGACAAGTGTGTCTTAAGATTCGCTTTTAGTAGTATGTAATTGATTGATAGCAGGCTTTATTTGACTACGCACAACATTAAACATGGATAGTTATAATTATAGAGCAACTATGTTAGATCCCGTGCAATAATGCACGGTTGTTAAAGTTTCAATATATGTCATATTATATTATTATAAACTAAACTCTTGATATATTGATTTAGTACAATTAAAGCAATTTACATTTTAGCCAATCTTTATTTATCTTATTAAAAATTTAAATTAAATAAATTTTAACCAAAAAAAAAAAATCAAAACTAAAAGACACACCAGGAGACGACAAGTGTCATTGCTGGTGTGTCTTTTAGTATATAATATAATATAATAATTATTGATTGATTGATAGAAGTTTATTTTATTTTTTTAAAATGAAATTATGGAAATGTAAATGAAACTAATTCAACAACATTTAACTTGATAATATTTGCTTTCAATAAAAGTAAAAATTCGTGTTCAATTCAAACTGTACAAATTTATAATAGTTGCGCTGTAATAATCTTAAAATGAGGTGTATATTGGTATATATATGAATTGTATGACAGTATGAGTATAAGAATTGATGATAAGTATCCAACAAATTTGGTTGACAAAATGCCATCCAAATTCCAATTGCATTAGCAAATACTCTAGTAATTTAATTATGTGAATTTAAGAGAGGGTTTGATTAAAAAAAAAAAAAAAAAACGTAGTAAAATAATTCCAACTAGCCTTGATCACATGGAACAATGAAACCTTCAATTTGGTAGGTATATAAATGTTAATACATGAAAAAATCATGCTTTAATCGGTAGTATAATAGTGTTTAATTTGTGTTTAATATTTAAACTTATAAAAGCCGCATATATCATTCCCCATTGATTAAGAGACAAGTTTTGGTTTAAATATACCAATTGGAAGCTAATAAAAGTGGTAGATACAGATAAGGGTGAGAAACATTATGTATCTTACTAAGGTGATAAATGATAATCATGTTGATTAAGTAGAGAACATGCTACAACATTATGCAACAACACTCAAAGGAATAAATTATGTGTTCATCAAATGTCAAACTAATGCAATGCGACAAACAAGAAAAACTTAAATTAGGCGCTCATAAAATGTCAACTTAATTTGAGTGTTTTGCTTATAAATGTGGTCCATAAATATTTGTATCATTTTACGATATAATTACACCGAAAAAGTTGGGCAGAAACTTCATCCAGACCTGGAATTCTCCGTCCGATCAGCAGGAAGAGGCCATCATGCAATTACATTTTAAAAGTTCGACTTACTTATTATTCATTTAGTCAAAATAAAATAGCTTTGATCACATTTTATGACTTATACAATAGAAATAAATTAGCATGTGGGATCTTATTAGATTCCCCTTATTATAACTTTTCCTATCGCTTCATATTAACTTTTTATAATGTTCACTTAAATATGGACGAAAATATTCATGATTAAAGATGTTTATTGGAATTGCACATAGTAAGGGCCTGCTATAATAGACTGAAATCAGCTAAACTGAACTGAACTGAGCTGAACTCAACTGAATTGAAATGAATATTTTATAATAGAAGGAAATTGAGAACTGAACTAAAGTGAACTGAAAAATAAACGTATAAGAACAGGCCCTAAGTCGAACTTTCAGAAACAGAAGGAGTACATTATAAACCTAATTAAACCACCCACCTCTTCACAAACTCAGACAAGTTCATATTCATCAAATTAATCCAAGCTTAATCAAATTTATCATCTTAGGTAGCTAGCTAGGCTTTCTTCTTTCCTCATCCCATCGAAGCGATCGAGCTGTAATTCAAGGTCAACTCACAATATAAAACATGTGATCTAACGTCCAACTTAAGGACGACTAATTATTGAGCCCTATGATTCCGGCAACGATTCCGGCGACAATGGCGATCCATAATAATATTTACGGTATAGCTAGTATATTAAAAACCTTAAATGAAAATCAATAATTCATGCACTTAGGTAAAAAAAAAAAAACGTCTATAAATAGAGTGCAAATTATACAAAGGAAATACATCTTCATAACAAAAAAAATTTCAATATACACTCCCTATAAAATTACAAACACATAAAGAGATCGATAATGAAGAAGACTAACTTTTCAAAATTCGCGAAAACTATAATAATGTTAATAATTGGGCTTATTTTGCTTTCTGAAACCAAAAGCAGTGAAGCTTTTGCACGGCCGTGCATGTACGCGGATCAGAAGCCATGCAGCAAAGGCGACAAAGGCAACCGCTGGAGCATCTCGTAGATCAATCTATCAATTCAAACATCATATATAATATATGGAATGTATGGGACCTTTTATTTACTGTTTAATTTGTTGTAAGCATGTTTTTTTTTTTTTTTTGATGATGAACTCTTTATTTATCTCAAGAGTTAGAGTGGTTTATTTTATTCTACTCATTATCTCAAGAGTTAAGAGTGGTTTATTTTAATAACTTAAAGTCCATAATAAAACTAAAGTACGTATGTCACAGAGTTTATTTATTTGCATTTTATTCTCATCTTAATGAAGTTTTCATGCATGTTTAAAATACTCCGTTTGGATGATACTTCATTCGTAGTATGGTGTATAAATAAGTGCTATTTATGAATCAATAATGTCTATAATGTATGTTGTTTATTTGAATTTGGATCTCTTTATCCTTTATAATTCCTGGTTAGACACATAATAACTAGTGCTATTGAATGAGAATTTTTACCTCTCTCTACCTTTCTCACCTCCACATCATATTTTTGTTGAGCAAACATATAGTAATCGTTTGAAATATAACTACCACAATTTATTTTTAAAACTCGAAAGCTATAAATTGATGATTTTTAAATTATTTTTAATGGTAAAATTAATCAAAATTTATTTTTCTTATTTTAAGTATTCAATTTAAATACTAACACATTATTTTATTCTTTTAATTCTAATTATTTACTTGCATCAAAAAAAAATTCTAATTATTTACTCTTACGTATTTTATGCACAATTCATTATACATCCTTTCATAAACCCGGAAGGTTAAGGTCTTAAGGATAACTTAACAAGTGAGTTTCACACCCAACATGGTCTAGTGGGATTATTTTAATTTTTCACCATAGTCAATAACAAACCCTTCCCACTAACACCAACCTGCCCTAAAAAATAACACCAACCTTAGAACCTGAAACACGAACAATGCTTAATTTCATTTTAAATCGTCAATTCTAAATTAAATGTGGCAATTTAATTTATATACTAGTATATACAGATCAAAGCGAAAGAAAAACTTATTCATGTGATGTTATAATTAATGAATAGCCTTGTAGATTGTTGTTCTGCGAATATAACATACAATTATCATAAGCTTATTAAGAAACTAGCAATAGCTTAGGTATCAAAACTATTTTTCCTAAATTTCCTTACAAAAACTAGAATAAAATCTGTTACGAAAGTTTTCTAATACCTAACAAATTGCCTAGCAACATCTCCATCTCGCTTCCCATAAGGATTGCTTTCATTGAATCTCCCTTCAACTTTACGGCTCTTCTTCCTAAACTTCGAAGCATTGCTGTGTACGTTGAGATTTACCCTTGGTGGGCAAGACAAGCAGAATGAAGCAGCTACTGCCTGCAAAAGTGAACCAACATCTAATCTTGGTAAAATAGACAGCAGCAATAAGATCTATAGAAAACGCATTATCTGACAAACTGTTTGCCTCGTCTTTCATTCACATATTATATTACCATACAAAATGAAATTGAATTGGTCTTTAAACAGGATCAGCCCTATTCTAATAATACAAAAGAAAAAAGTATTACCTGTAGATCAAGTTTGTGTACATCAAACACATCTTTTATGGAATGTGAGCTATATGATGATATATAGGTCCTGAATGCGTCTTTAGCTGACTTGTTCAAGTAATAATTATTTGATACCAATTTCTCCTGCAAAATCCTACTATGTAAAATGGTGCTTTCATAATTCGGAAGGAAAAAAAAAAAAAACAGAAATAAGAAGATTTAGTACCAGAACCGACTGCACTTTTGCCAGCTTCTTTGTATCAAAATCATACTCTTTTACAGGAATCTTCTCACTCTGCATTATAATTTTACATATTGAGTTAGAAATAAGGGGCGAGATATACACGTAGAAACAAATTGATCCACTTAGCACAACCAACAAGTTTAACATAACTGAGCTTTAATCTGCAGTCAACACTCAGTGTAACAAAATATAAATCCAAATTATCTCACAAAGATTTATGAATACATTCATAAAGTTTTAAGTCCAAATTAAATACATACATCTGACTTCACTTTCATCATTGAAACTTCAAAGTGTAGTTTGTCGGCTATATTCATACCTTCAAATAACTAAGAAGCTGCAGCTCATCTGGAATAAGAAAAAGCAAAGCATTACCCTTTGCACCTTCCCCACGAGCTGTTCGTCCAACCCTATGAACATAATCCTAAAAGGGATAACATATCAGCTAACAAAATCACATAAAGCTCGCTATATTCAGGAGAGAGGGGGGGGGGGGGTCAAGTCGGTAATGTGAAATACCGTTGAGGCATTTGGAGGATCATACTGCACAATCCAATCCTACAAAAAGCCAAGAAAATAACAGACCATTCAGATAAAGGTGCCTTTGCTAACTTGCTGTACCAAAACCTGTATTCTGTTGAGATTACACTAATTAATGTAAAAACAGCATATAAGACACTAACCACACCAGGAATATCAAGTCCACGAGCAGCAACATCAGTGCAAAAAAGTATGCCTTTTTCTGCTTTGCTGAAGTCGTCAAATGTTGTAATTCTCTTGTTCTGCTTTTGTTTCCCATAATAATCAAAGCAGTCAATCTGAATATATTTGAAGAGTTCTGAATGGAATTTTACTGACATGCAGGAAGAAAAGAAAACCATGACTTTCTTAGTCAGATTCTTCTTCAGAAACGAATAGAGAAGGATAAGTCTCTTATCACTAGGAATAACACAATAGCCCTGCTGTAGTCCTTCATTGGTAACCTATGATAACCAGCATTGGATAAGTTATTCCATCATATAAGAACCAAGGATGACAGGTACAAATAATGGAACCATCAATTTACAGTTTTCACTTACCTTAGTCCTCCCTTCGTCAACATCAATGTAGATAGGACTAGACTTGAATGACAAGCGTGCAAGGTCCTCCACCTACATACCAAAATTATTATATCACTAACTCAGCACATATACACATAGTAGCCAGTTCTACTCAGTATTACATCTCCCTCTCTCCCCTAAACATGCCCCCTTTCCTGAACAGAAATACGGCAGAAATTACAAAAAATTGACAGCTACCTTCTGAGTTTGGGTGGCTGAAAAAAGAGATGTTTGCCGTTCCTGTATGCCAGAAAATTTTCAATCGAATAATTATTTCAGAAACTTCATGGCCTTGACAAAGACATAAAAGAGCATAAAATTTGGAATAACATATACAATTTCAAGAACCACAAAGTAGAAATCCGGCATCAAAAGACCCTAAACATCACAAAAGAGACAAAAGAAGATAATCCATCCAGAGCACAGTAAAATTCAAGCTCAATCATATCAACTGTTCATATCAGCTGTTCATACTAAATGAATACAATAACTTTTAAAACAAAAGAAATTTACTTTTGGATTACATACACTTCCAAATTATATAAGTAGCTACCTATGAGAGAGTAAAGTAAAATTATTAGTATTAAAGTTAACATTTACAACACATATCAAAATGTCACGTATTCTTAAACTCAATAATAGAGAGTATATTTGACGCTCATAACTAGCCCTTAGGCTGTGTATATCGTAGCATTAAATTTATCAAGGTAAACATTTGTTTATAAAGCACCAGCTTTCCATCTTCCAAAATGCTACAAGAACCACAAACTATCATACTTTCCAAATTTCCTTAATACGAAGTATCAAGGTAAACATTTGTTTATCAAGCACATTATCAGTATATCTGTAAAAAAAGTTAATTGAATACATATTACAGCCCTTTTTTCTGGACATAGAGTTTTAACCACACATGAAATATAAAAGGCATATTTCTGACCTTTGGCAAAATTTTTAGTATCTGCCTCATCTCTTCTTCAAAATTAGCCTCCAGAATCCTGTCAGCTTCATCAATCACCAAGCACTGCAAGCATAAATATATTAGAGATGACATTACCCTAGTAAATACAAGCATTATATGTAAGGAAATACCCACAATATAACTCCTCTTGTACCATGGTTTTGATCATCCATTCAGCAAATATGAAACCCGAGAAATGAGTATCAGGTTGAGTTTACATTCTTCATTATATTATATTCACTTAGGCTATGTTCAATTCAACTAATTTTAACAGATATTTGCTTATTCAAAATTGATCAAATCAGACCATACTTGCTTATTTGTGTTTGCTTATTGCGAAACATTATAATAGGAAGTTACACATTAATTCGATTCCAAAGAAGTCACATTTGATAAAAAAATTTTCTTAAGAAATAGTGTACAAATATTGTCAGAAATTAGTCAAATTAAGAAATCAAATCAGGATCAGATCATCAGATCTTAGAACAAATAAAGTTGGAAATACAACACAAAAAAAGCCATGTTTCAAGTAAAGTTTGATATAAATGCTACAAATCACCTTTAAATTTTTGTATATGAAGCCCTTAGTATTTTGAAGATGGTCAAGAAGGCGTCCGAGAGTTGCCACTAAAAGATTAACACCTTTGGCAAGTTTTTCTGCTTCTCTCCTTCGGGCTGCACCACCAATGACCAAGCCAAGGGTTTGTGAATGCTGCTTCAGAAGTTCTTTAGCAACAGCGTGTGACTGCATCATAAAGACAAAAAATAGTTCTGTGAGACTGCCCTTTAAAGCAGAGCAAACAAAAGGAAGCAAGTCCCGAGTTAAACCTGAATAGCAAGCTCCCTGGTTGGACAAATAACAACAACACCAAGACCATTACGAGGAGTAAAACGTGTCTGATGCAGCAATTCCACAGCTGGAATAAGAAAGGCAAGGGTTTTACCAGAACCAGTCCTTGCAGCTCCTAGCACATCTTTGCCTTCCAAGAGAGGAGGTATAGCTCTGGCTTGAATCTTCAAACATAGTAAAGCAAATAGCATTAGCTAACCGAGAAATACTAAATTCAAATTCCATCTATTGAAGTTGCATTTTGGGATTCTAAGGGTCTTGGTAGACCAATTTACAAGAAATTACAAAATCGATAATAAAAGCTTCAGAGCCACTTGTCCTTAGTTTTAAAGGGCGCAAGACACACCAAGGCGCAAGGCAGGCCTAGGAGGTACAATTTATTCATATAGAAAAGATATACGAAGTAATAGTTTCCAGGGTCATGTGATCAATAGCTAGGATTCTTCAAATCGAATTGCCTCTATGATAAAATTATAGGTCTTGGAGCCTTGTAGAGCTAACGCGCCATCTCTATAAATTCACTCACTAAGTACTTATCCATAGCTACCCCTTGACTAAATCTACACCCTCCCATTCTCAAATTATGTCACAAATTCATCATTAAGAACACAATATCCAAATTTAAGTTTTCGAAAGCAAATCACAACATAAATTACATACAACCCCTTTATTCAGAACCATTGGGATAATTAAATTCACTGATATATTTTTTGGAATTATAAATTTATAATTAGGTTGAAACTAAACAATGAATCAAAAACCAATGAGTATTATATACTCCTGGAGTACAATGGATCATGGTACTTCTTACAAATATGTTTGAGTTATTTTGTGTACACTTTTTGTTATTTTGCTTAAAAGTTGTGTTATTTACTTATTTTGTTACAACAATATGTTATTTACTTATTTACTTCAACCTCCATTCATGTCATTTTTAATTTACAAAGTAACAAGTACTTATTTATAAATAACATGTATATAAATTGAAATAATAATAAGTTTTACATCAAAATAACATTAGCAGCTTTGAGTTTAAAGAGAATCGAACACTTCAAGAGGTACTAAATTTCTTGACATGAACACATTTGAACCCTTAAAGGGCTTTAAATCAATTAATTTCTAAGAAACCCAGAAAATTAGAAGAAGAAAAGAGGAGAGAGAAAGTGTGTTTGATTTAGAATTGGAGTAGTGAGAGGAAGAGAGAGAGTGAGAGGTTGATTTTTGGGAAACCCAGAAAATTGGATGAAAAAGGGAAGAGAATGTGTGTGATTTTATGGGAGGAAGATGACTGAGAAAAAAAGACAAAATAACATACATTGATTTAAAAATAACATATATATATATATATAAATTGAAATAATAAGAAGCTAATATCAAAATAACATGAATTTATAAAATCTGGAGTACCATGTGCACGGTACTCCGGGAGTAAGATAGAAATTGCGTCAAACGAAGAGAACGAACCTGTGTCATGTTAGAGAAGCCGATATCCTTAATAGCAGTTTTAGTAGGGTCGGAAAGTGGTAGAGCAAAGAAAGATTCATCACTCATTATTCCAACCTCACCACTACTCCTTTTCTTTTCAACTTTCCCGCCATTATTTTCTCTTTCAACTTCTGCTTCTGATTCGTCGCCGTATGGCCGTTTCCGTCTTACCATTTTAGGGTTTTATCTGCAACACATTAACAACCAAAATTCACTCAAATTCAAATTTATCAAATTATATTACAAAAAGATATTTTGAATTGCAAAACTACAGCAAAGTTATATGATTGTAACCAAATTTTGATTCAATTATTGCACCAAACTCGAAAATCACATAATTTTAGAGAAATATTTTTAAATTATCAAATTAGGCTCATAAATTTCTTCTCTTGAAACATAATCTCTCTTTATGATCATTCATAAACTTAGTAATTCCAAATAAATTCGAAACCTAATTGTACTACAATAAATCCTAGATTGTGATGTTTATATTTTTTTTGTAACCAAATTTGATTCAATTATCAAATCAATTAAGCTCGAAAATCACATAATAATTATAGGGAGAAAAGGCAAGTTTAATTCAACTATACGGAGTAAAATTTTCTGGTTATGATCGTTCATAAACTTAGTAATTCCTGATTAATTCGAAACCCAAATTTACTACACTGACTCAACGATAAACCCTAGATTGTGAAATTGATATTCGATGATTAGGAAAAGAAACCACTTACAAGTTACAACAAGAAACAGAGACACCGAGAGAGGAGGACAAAGTATGTACTTACGTTCGTCCGTCTTTTTACTTTGGGTTCAACAATACTTAATTTTATTACACGACTATATTTATATTTACTTACGTTCGTCCGTCTTTTTACTTTGGGTTCAACAATACTTAATTTTATTACACGACTATATTTATATTTATGTATAGGCAATTACTAGCTACCACTACTGTCTGTGGTGTAAAAAATTAAGAACACATAAAAATAAATGAGCATTCAGTAATAAAAAATGAATACATTAAAAAAATTAAACATTCAGTATTTAAAAAGTGAACATGTTAAAAAAATGGTAATTCAATATAAAAAATAAACATGATAATCATAAAATTAATGGGCCACAACCTTAAAAATGAACATTTAGTGTAAAAATAATTATGAACAGGTAAAAATAATAATAATAATAAAAAAAGAACATTTGTTAATAAAAAATGAACATGTCAAAAATAATTATGAACATTAGTATATTAATAATGAACATTTATCATACAATAATAGAATAGCTAGACCACACCAAATAATAAAATGAACATTTCATAAAAATATATGAATATATTAAAAAAAAAACTTTTAGTATAAAAAAACGAAAACATGAAAAAAATTATTAACATTTAATATATTAAAAAATAAGCATGTTTTTCTTATATTCATATAAATTCAAATTCATTGTATATATTAACGGAAACTAAAGATAAAATGAATCATTAAAGTATGTTTAGTTTTTATGTACCAAATGTTCATTTTTAGTGTACTAAATGTTCAATTTTAAAGTACACCGTGTTCATTTTTTTCTAAAAATTATGCACAAATATTAGCAACTCAATCAAAAAACCGAAATTCATTATAACAAACAAATTAAAGATGCAACAATTCAAAAATTCATCACAAAAACTCATTAATTAAATTAATATTTATAAAATATTCAAATATTCAGTACTAGATTCATTAAAAAGTATATTAAAATTCATCAAAATGGGAAATTCACTAATTATAAAATCAGAAAAATCAATACAATTTTAGCCCAAATCTAACCTAATTAAAACAAATTAAAAATCAGCAATACAAAAACTAACCCGCATTGATGATCTCTTTTGAATAACAACCAAGTCCATAATATTATAGAAAATTGAGGAAAAAGAAAATGGTGATGGTCGCGACGAAGATGATAGAGAATGCTACAATGGTGAGGAATTGGATAATATTAAAAATAGGAGGATAAAGAAGTTTAAAAATTGAAGGAAAGTGAGGTAAGAAAAAAAATTTACTTATAAGCAGACCTGGGCACCGTGCCGGGCCGTGCCGCCGCGGGCCGTGCCTGGCGGGCCACGGGCTGGTTCGTGCCGTGCCGGTTGTGCCGGCGGGCCCAGGATTTCGTGCCGTGCCGTGCCGGCCATTTTCACAGGCCAGCCCACGGCACGGCACGGCCCTCGTGCCTGGCGGGCTCGTGCCGTGCCGGCCACGTGCCGGTCTGCGGGCTGGCAGCGGGCTGGTGCAGTTTTCAAATAATTTTTTATATATATATATATATATATATATATATATATATATATATATATATATGACAACATTATAAATTAATAAGTTTATAATGTATATAAGTTATAAAATTATAATTATAAGGTTATAACTTATAAGTTTATAACTTATAAGTTATAAGTTATTAAGTTATGAATTTTATAATTATAAGTTGAATATTTATGTTTTATAATTTGTATATTCAATATTTATATTTATATATTTACTTTATACTATTACTTTAAAATTTAATGTTTATGATTTATTAGTAATTGGTATAATTTTTTTTTTTAATATGAATTTACAAATTGTAACAAAACGGGGAAAAAAGGCAAATTGGACTTTAGATGTGAATAATGCGTACTTTATATTATTATTACTTGAGTTGAGAAAATTGTACAATGATAAAAATCATACAATGATGGTATTAAACAAAAATTGAAAAATGATAAAATTGATATTTTTAAAATCGTACAATATACAATAATTGTCTATTCTTCTTCTCCTTCTTCTTGCTCGTCTTCGTCTTCGTCTTCGCCTTCGCCTTCAAGGTCATCGGCTAGTTGCATAGATTGGGAACTAGCCGAACCCGAACCGGAAGCGGAGGTTCCTTCTTCGTTGTCGTTGTGGTCGTAAGAACGGTCTTGTGAGCGATTTTCCGCATCCAACCAATCTTTGAAACACACGCACATTTTTAGTGTTTCGGGTTTTAGACTTGTTCTTCTATCGTCTAAAACCCTTCCGGATGCGCTGAAAGCTCGTTCGGAGGCGACGGAGGAAACTTGGATAGCAAGAATGTCTCGTGCCATTGCCGCCAAAGTTGGATGCTTCGAGCTTTGTTGTTTCCACCATGCAAGGAGGTCGAGGCTGTTTATCTCATCGTCGTCCATGCCTTTGGTGAAGTCGTAACTCTGGTACATCTGCAACTCCGAGACGTCGCTTTGCGTTCTCCTGATTGATGAATCACCTGAAAACCTTGAAATCAAGTTAGTAGCTTGTGAAAATAAATGTTTGGCCTTCTTACTTACGTTTTTGGATGGTTGGGAAGACCCTAAGCGAGGAACGGTGCCATATTTGGCTTCATAGACTCTATATAAAGCAAAAAACTGATCCTTCACATTAGTCTTATAGTTTTCTACATCATCGTCAAGAAACATGCATTGAAAGTAAATGTCAACTAACATAAATGTGTTTTCATACTTTTGCCTAGGATCTAATATGGAAGCAAAAATATAAATCAAAGGAATCTCACTATAATATTTACGCCACTTTTTTTCCATTGCTGGAAGATACTGATCATAATCACTTTGATGGAGATGATCAGCGAAAAGTTGGGCGAGTAAGCATGCATTAGAAAGAAAGTTTTGAGCACAAGGATTGTAAATAGTAGAAAAACAATACGTCATGTTATATAATAACTGTAAAAATTGCATATATCTTTCACAGTTATTCCAATCATCATCATACAAAGCATTTTGTGGAAATTTTTGGTTGTAAAATAATGTTAACAGGCCCTTGTACTCAATTGCCTTTGTTAACATGTCATAGGTGGAATTCCACCTAGTTGGGAAATCGGTTCTAATTTTTATTACCCTTATCTTTTGTTGTTTTAGAAAAATCTTCCATTCTTGGTATCTCATGTTAGAGCTATTAATAGACATAATAGCATCTCTGATTTTGCTGTAGTATTGGCCAATTGCCCGAACTCCATCCTGTACACATAAGTTAAGTACATGGCAAACACATCTAGTATGAAGAGCTTCACCGTCTAATAGTACATCGGTTAAGTTTTGTTTGATAAGATTAGCTGTGTATGTCATAGAGGTTGCATTATCAAAAGTCATAGACATCATTTTATCTCGAAGGTTGTATTCGTCTATTGCTTGCATTAAATGGTGAGCAATGTTAATGCCGGTGTGTGGGTATTCCAGCATTTTGAAATGTATTATTCTTTTTTGTAACATCCATTGATCATCTACCCAATGGCAAGTCACACATAAATAGTGATATTTATAACCACTATCCCAAGAATCGGCTGTTAAAGATACTCTACAGTTAAGGTTACTCAATTCGGCTTGTAACCGGACTTTGTACTCTAGGAAATTTTTCATTGCGGCGGAACGAACGGTTTTCCTAGAGATTCTTTTATGTTGGGGTTGTAGTGCTTTGTTAATGTAGGTGTTGAATGCGTCACTTTCCGAGAAAAGAAAAGGTTGTTCGGCGTGTACTATCATTTTTCCTAGTTCATCCCTATCCCTCTCATAGTTGTATGTAAAGCCGTATGGATGGAATTGGGAAATTTTGGGCTGGGTTGGATCACTAGCTGGTTTTGCACAAGCTTTCATGTGTCTAGATAAGTGTCCCGTCCCGTTTTTGGTAACTGCCGTGAATACACTATTACATGTTTTACATTTTGCCCATTGTTCACCATCTTTACTTAGGACAAAATAACGCCATACCTCACTCCTTCGGTTTTTCAAAAGTAGCATCTCAGTTTCGGTTAACCATTCATGATGTGTGTGATGGTTAGTAGTGGGACTAGTGGGAGTGGCAGTAGAAGGGGTAGAACCGGAGGGAATTCAGGTACTTTCTTGGCTACCTTGGCTAGAACAATAGTTTTGTTGATCACCGATATAATTAGGTGGAAATTGGTATGGTGGTAGTGGAAATTGGTTTAGTGGTGGTGCTGGAAATCCCGACGTATTATATGGCTCATAGCCCGGGGGGAAGTAAATGGGGTCATTGGTTTGACTCGTAATTTAGGGGCTCGTTGTATTTGGTGGTTCCCTAGAACTACTACTACGGATAAGTCGGCCTTTCCCCCTAGACCTAGATGATGGGTTGTTCGATGCCATAATTAACAATTAATTTTTTGATAAAAAGTGGT